TCCGTCAATTTGGGTGTTGCCAGTCCATCCCCCAAGATCCGATCATTCGGGATGAGCGAGACTGGGACACACACCACAAAGGTCAGGGGATGACTGGGAGGGCGTTTTATGAGTGGGCAACATTCCATGTGCCGTTTCTGAGCTCATGGACCGAAGAAATAGAACAACGTCTCCTCCCAGTTGTCCCTGTGTACGACTATCTGCAGCCGGAGCAGGGTTACCTTGAATGGTTTCACAGCAGGACTGTGAGATTCATCAATAACCCTGCCAATTACCCGGTGTTCTAGCAGGCGGGCGGTTATCAGCCACTTGCCGAGCGGTTAGGCTGTCAGGTAAGTGTTCATTATTTGTGTTTATTATTATTATTATTATTATTTATTTATTTATTTATTTATTTATTTATATATTTATTTATTTATTTTTTTTTGTGTTTCATATACTAATTATTATGAATTTTATTTACAGACTTCTGCACTACAAGGGGTTTATGGCGCCTTATCCGACATTCAACCATTAATGCCTCAAATCCCTCCAGAAGCGCAGACCGGCTTCCAACAGTCGTACAACTTTGCCTTCTCTTCTCTGACTCTTGGGGGCCAGGGTGTTCCACATGGGGGGCTGTCCAGTCAAATTTTCCCCCATGAGGACACAGTCACACACGACCAGGCATCGACCCGCCCCGGACATTGGTGGGGGTAGAAGACCTCGCGCCCGTCCCCGCGCTCAGCCGTCTGCCCAGCAGCTCCAACCTGAGCAGACCGAGCCTCAACAAGGTGAGATTTTTAAATTAACAATTTTTTTTTTCAAGTCCAATTTATGATTTCTTTTTTCAATTGAATTACTCAGATGAAGAAGATGAAAATGAGCAGGCTTTTCAAACTGACACGCTTCTCACACCTCAACCTTCGTCTTCTTCTCACATGGTATATACTCGGAGGGGGTCCAGACCGCGCAAGACTAAAGTCCCATACACTCCTCCTAGTTAGTTGTGTTGAATTCGTGATTTTTATGTTTATTTTGAATGATTGGATTGTCTGTATAAATCGAATTATATCGTTTTGAATATATTGTTTGTTCAACAAATTATTGTGTTTCATTTGTTTGTTTATATGGTATGTTGGATTGTTATTGAGCGAATATGTTGATAATAGTTGCTCGAACAGGTGTATTTGGTTGTGAACAGGTATATGTGGTTGTGAACAGGATTTTTGCTAAAAACGTATTAGTGAAATCAGTTTATTATTTTTTTTTACAAAAAACGTATTTCAACAATACGTTTTCTTTGAAAATTTAGGGCTAAAATTAGGGCAGCAATATCAATTCGGGGCGAAATTTCACAAAAACCGTATTTGCAAAATACGTATTATATTTTAATTTTTTTTTTCTAAAAATATTATTTGCAATAATAGTAAAAATTAATTTTATTTGGAAAACGTATTTGTGAAATACGTTGTATGATTAAAAAATAAATATAAAATTATTTTAATTTGAAAACGTATTCAGGCAATACGTTTTCTATTTTTGCTAATTGAAAATATATTTCGTTAATACATTTTTCTATATTTTAATTAAGTTAATTACGTTAATTAAGTTGACTAATATTTTTTATAAAAACCGTATTCCGTGAATACGGTTTATAACAGAAGACGTATTACGTAAATACCTTTTACAATAAAAAATAATTAAAAACGTATTCAGTGAATACGTGATTTTTATTTCGGTCCACTCTTTTTTTTTT